CATGGACCAGCCAATGCCCTGTGCTCCCCCTTGGTTCTCCCAGCACTCCACCAGTGGTCTGATGGCCCTTTGTGTTTTCCTGGCTTGTCTACACTCGTTCAAGAGCCTGGGTTCCGATGCTGACCAGCAAGAAGAACAAGACAAAAGGCTTGTTACTTGAACTCCATCTATTCTGAGACCTAGAGAACTAGATGGTGCCCAGTTACCTCTAATGACCATTCTGATCAAGACCAAGTTGCAAGGGCTCTGAATGAAAGGGAGAAAAAATATGAAACAGAACCTCAGATTCTTCCAAAGTCCAGACTGCTGGTCCAGTTGAGACTAGAGTACTGAGACTATTGCCCTGAGATATTCCAAAAATCCTGAACCGAAACTATGTTGTTGTTGTTGTTGTTAAGTGCCATTGAGTTGGTTTCAACTCATAGTGACCCTATAGGGTTTTCAAGGAGCAGATGGTGAGTGTGCATGGCCAGCCTTGTGGTTCAAAGCAATCTTGCGGTCCAGTGCATTGTCCTACATGCCACACCAGGACTCCAAACCGTAACTACCCCCTTTTAACGCTAAGTAACAGATTGGCTCGTAAATGATTTTTTTTTTTTTTTAACTCATCTCTGAGAGATGGGTGATTCAATAGTGAGTAATTGTTATCCCAACTAATTGTGACTGTCACAATAAAGGTAGAAGTTTTGTAACAAAAATGGGGAAGTAGTTAATCTTACAGTCCAGGAACAGAGGACCCTAGGACCATCAAGGGAGAAGAGCACAAGCAGAATGCGGGACCCTATTCAGAGAAGCAGCAACACCGGAGATGAAGGCAGAGATGGGGACATGGAGAGAGGGAGCAGCTGAGGACTCTAAACTCATGGAAAGAGAGGGACCGAGTACAGGCAGCCAGGAGGCAGGTTTGCAGGAGGTGCTCTTTGGTTGTTTAAATTATAAATATTCCTGAGTGTTTTTGTGTACATTCACACACACACACACACACAAAAAAAAAAAAAAAAAAAGAGGGAATAGAAGCAAATACTTTCAAATGGTGATGCATGGAGGAGATTGTAATCAATGCAGTGAAACGATGGTGTAAAACCAATGTTCTCCCATGTAAACTATCATTCAGTTCACAATAAAAAATAAAAATCATCCCTGTGAGACTGAAGGGTCAATGCTGACTCTAAAGCGCAGATGACCGGGGACGGGGAAGGAACCACCTCCAGCAGGAAGTGAATGAGGAAGCTGGCACATTGGGAAAGAAGGAACCAATGGCTCAGATCCACTTTGTGTAATTGTCAAATGGGAACCAAACTTGCCTTGAAACCTTTGCTAAAAGCACAGTAAAAGATGCGAGGCTGGAGGGAGGAGGGAAAGAAGGTAGAAGATGGGAATTGTTTGTGGCTTTCAGGAAAGCCAGGGCTCCTGGTTTTAAGCTTGTCTTACTTTTCCCTTTCAGTTCTCCATCTGCAGTGAGCCGCTCATCGAGCTGTCCAACCCTGGGGCCAGTGGGTCCTTGTTTTTTGTGACCAGCGATGACGAGTTCATCATCAAGACCGTCCAACACAAAGAAGCGGAGTTCCTACAAAAGCTCCTGCCAGGTTACTACATGGTGAGTCAGTGCATGCCGTGAATGCTGCTAAATAACAAAACCCCAAACCAGTCCTGACTCACAGCGGCCTGCCCCTTAGGGTTTCCAAGGCTGTCCTCTCTGTGGAGCGTTCTGTTTCTTCCATGGAACAGCTGATGGATTCCAACTGTCAGCCTTTAGGATAACAGCCAAGTGCTTTACTGATGTGCCCACGGCACTATTACTGTTGTTAGCGGCTTTATCGTCAGTTCACGCTGTTATTGTTAAGTACTGTCAAGTCAGTTCCGACTCATAGTGACCCTGTATAGGGTTTCCGAGAAGCAGCTGGTGAGCTTGAACCTCCAACCTTGTGGTTCATCCCGATTTTGTGGGTCTGACACATTAACCCACAGAGCCACACCAGGGTTTCTGACACTTTAATTCTTAACCTGAACAGAATTCAGCTGGTCGCCTCAAGAAGGTACCTACCTGTGGTTAGCAATGCAGCGCTCAGCTTACAGCGTGACTAGGATGCCCCAGGTTCTATAAACAACACATATTCAATATCAGCTCTTCTTAACAGCTGCACCTTCCAATTTAGGGTCCACTGCCAGGGGGATACAAAGAAGCCAAACTGTATCAAACTGGTACATTTTTACAGCAACCCGTGAACCTCCACGTCTTAAAAACGAAGTTTCCATTTTTCACCGATTGTACTATTTATAGTTAACCTTTTGAAGTTTGCTAATATTCAGCCCCAGTGAAGAGAGAAGGAAGATGTGCAGCCTTGGTGGTGATGTTGGGGTTGTGTCTTGGTCCGGCCATTTTGGAGGGCCAGGTCTTCAGAGGCTATTCAAGTCTAACAGACTCCTTTACTCACAGCAGCCCACTTCCTCTCCAGCTGCCTGAGACAGTGACCACGCTGATACCAGGCTCTTTTTTGCCCAGTTTGACCCCTTGCCTTAGAGTCAGTTCCAGCCCTGTGGGATAGACAAGAACTGCCCCACATGGTTTCCCAGACTGTCATCTGTAGAGAAGCTGACTGCCACGTGTTCATTCAGTGGAACCACTGACCCACTTCTCCCTGGGGCCAATTTGGGAATGATGTGCCTTTTCAATGTAGCCAATTTTCAGTGCCCTTAGTTTATTTCCAGTGATGACGTGCAGAAATAAGAAACGGCAACATTGTTGCAACGTAACAAAGACGGTTTCATCCAGTTTCTAATGATGGTATCAGCATGAAAGTCTGTTTTTCATGAAGCATAAAAATGTACCACTTTAAACATCTCCCTGTTTTCCTACTTTCAGAATTTAAACCAGAACCCAAGGACCCTCTTACCCAAGTTCTACGGACTCTACTGCATGCAGTCCGGCGGCATCAACATCCGCATCGTGGTGATGAATAACGTCTTGCCTCGCGCCTTGAAGATGCACTTCACCTACGACCTCAAAGGCTCGACCTATAAGCGCAGAGCATCGCGGAAGGAGCGAGAGAAGTCAAACCCCACCTTCAAGGACTTGGACTTCCTCCAGGACATGCGCGAAGGGCTGTATTTCGATACGGAGACGTACAACGCGCTGATGAAAACGCTCCAGAGAGACTGCCGGGTAAGAAATGCTCCCACTGGGCTCCCATGAAGGGTCAGCTGTGACAGTGCCACCCTGGGCCAACAGCCACCCAAAGCGCAGACTTGAGGACAGGCGGAATCTCTTTTGGCCCCATTCCCATGCTGATCCATGCTTCTCTGGGGTTGATGCCATTGGTGAGTCATAAGAGAGTTCTCTAGAATCTGTTCACTGTTGTTGTGGTGTTGAGTCGGTTCCGACTCATAGTGACCATGCAGAGGGTTTCTGAGGAGTGGCTGATGACCTTGAACCGCCAACCTTATAGTTCACACTGACTTTGTAGTCCAGAGCATTAACCCACAGTGCCAGTAGAGTTTACAAATAAAGGAACCCTGGAAGCATAGTGGTTTACGTGTTAGACAGCTAACCACAAGGTCAGCAGTTCGAATCTACCAACCACTCCATGGGAGAAAGATGAGGTTTTCAGCTCCCATAAAGATTTACAGCTTCGGAAACCCTATACAGAGTCCCTACAAGTCAGAACTGACTCAACAGCACTCAACAAGCACTGCCCGAGTTTACCAATAAGCAAAGTCGCTTGCAGAGTCCCTGGGGGTACAAACTGCTAACACACTCGCCCATTAACTGGAAGGTGACAGGTTCTGTTCCAACCAGAAGTACCTTGGAAGAAAGGCCTGGTGATCTGCTTCTGAAAAATGTGCCGTTGGAAGCCCTGGGGGGCACAGTACTACTCTGACAGATGTAGTTGGGTCACCGGTGAGTCCGAACCAATTTGATAAAAGCTTTCTTGTTTGTTTTTTTAAAGTTACCTTCTTTGATAAAACACATCTGGAAAGTTGTTTTCTTTTCACCATCCCCTGTGGAGAAGGTAGTTATAGAGGAAAAAGAAGGTAGGCTTCGTGCAGTGATTTGCAAGATAATCTTGGGCAAAGTAAGCTTCCTCCAATGGGACTGGTGTGTGCATGCGCGCGGGAACGTTCAGGGAAGAGTGCGTGTGCTGAAGGTGGTTCCTATCGTCTGAGTGACAAGGGGCCGTTCCAGGTTGTAGAGTCTGAAGTTCACGGTCAGCAGTCTGGTTAGTTTAGAAAAGTGAAATCAATGTAGTTACGCTTTATCTGACCTCGTGCAAATACAAGTCTTTTTGGTGAAAAGCTGCGAGGCTACAAGTCTGATGGCTGCTAACAGATGGCTTAATAAAGCCTCAGGAATGTCACTTGGAGGAAGGTCCGGCTACTCAGTTAAGCCTAGTGGAGGGGGCAGTGGGTGTGGAAGAGGGGTAAGCATGGTGGGAGGTGGCACCCAGGGCTGCAGGGCTGTGTGGGGACAGGGACCAGGGATGGCACTCACAGAGCTCTGGCCTGGACAGGTGACCGACATCTTTGCAGGGATGCACTACTCTGCCCGACCCCAGCTCACTTGCAATGAGGAAAACAGTGTAACCTCCTGTTTAATGGACAAGGTAGAAATTCCCTTTAAGGAACCAGAGCCCCAAACCCAGTTGCTGTCTAGTTTTCCCAAGTCATGGTGACCCCACGTGTGTCATTGTAGAACTGCGCACCATGGCACTTTGGTGACTGACTTTTCCACAGTAGATGGCTAGGGCTTTACTCTGAGGTGCCCCTGGATGGATTTGAACTTGCTACCTTTTGGTGAACAGATGAGCATGTTGACTGTGTGTACCTCCCAGTGACGCACTTGAGTAACACTATCCTCCCGTTTCTGGGTTTTCTCCCCATTATAAACTCAACTCACTCCCAGCAGTTGAGTGGATTCCAACTCATAGTGACCCTGTATAGGGTTTCCGAGGCTGTCAATCTTTATGGGAGTAGGTCTCCTGAGGAGCGGCTGCTGGGTTTGAACTGCCGACCTCGTGGTTTCTCAATCCGGTGCTTTTCCCACAGTGCCACACTAGCACTGGTGCACAAAAAGGCATCCATGGTGTCATTTTCATCATTGATAAAAACATCACTTCACAGCCCTTTCTACATGTTGCATTCTTACAGTCTGCCCGGCCAGGCAAAGACTTGAATGTTCCTCTTGGTAGCTCTTCACACATTTGAAGTCAGTAGTGTCCACTGAGGTGAAGACCCTTGTCCAGTGGCAGAGTCCACACCTCTCTGAACTATATAGCTTTGCCCTAAGGCTTTCTCTTGTCTTCTCATTTTCTGAGAAAATGAGGGCGGGACCATGAGAAGCAAGCAAATGAATACTAATAAAATGTGTCCAGCAGACCTATTCAGACAGCAGTGGTGTCTGATTCCTGGTTTTCTTAATAAATGCACGGAAGAAACGGCACACCCACGTTTGGAACATGGAACGTGGGGAGTCTTTTTCTGCCATCTTCTGCAACCGCACATTTCTGCGTCTGTACAGGGTTCCTCAGTCCACTCACGTCTCCTGAGCCCAAGACTGGAGGATCCCGGGCCAATGCCTCTTTTAAGGTGTATGGTTCTGGTGGCACTGTGGAGGAAGCATGGGATTGCTAATCTCAAGGTTGGCAGTTCAAACCCACCAGCCATTCCTCAGGAGAAAGAAGAGGCTTTCTGCTCCCGTAAAGACTTCCAACCTTGGAAACCCTATATAGAGTCGCTGTACATTGGAATCAGCTCGGTAGCAGTGGACTGGTTCTGGTTTGGGGTTGTAGTAACTTCTTGTTAAAAGTCAAGTGTAGAGAGGCATTCTGAGGCTACGTCTCTGCCACTCCTGGCATCTGACCTGCTTCAGGGTTTAAGAGAAACAATCCCACTGCTGTCGAAGCAATTCCAACTCATGGAGACCTTACAGGACGGGGGCCAACAACTCCCTAGGGCTCCCCAGGCTGTGACACTTTATGGGAGCAGACTGCCACATCTTTCTCCCGAAGAGCAGCTTATGGGTTTGAACCAATGATATTATGGTTAGCAATCCAATGCTTAGCCCACTGCACCACCAAGACGCCTTTTTTACGAGACCTTAGTCCAATCCACTGCCATGGAGTCAGCTCCAGCTCCTAGCAACACTCACTACGTAAGCAGAACAAAGCATGGCGTCCCCGCGTCTTCCTCACAGTCGTTGGTGTCCCTATGTGTTGTGTATGGGGAAAATGAAATCCACTTCAGTCAAGTCCATTCTGACTCATAGTGACCCTGCTGGACAGTAGAGCTGCTCCTTAGAGTTCCTGAGGCTGTAAATCGTCACAGGAACAGACAGCCTCATCCTGCTCCCAACAGGTGACTGGTGGATTTGAACAGCTAACCTTGTAACGCCTGTACCACTAGGGCTCCTGTGTCTGGGAAGGGAGAGGTAAAGAACCAGACCCTTCTCTTGACTGATCCCCTGCCTGGTGTGATACAGTCTACACCAATGCTGAGCTTGGCCCTGGGACACACTTATTAACCTCACTTGTCACTTATATCAAAACACAGGAAGGAGGATTTGTTAAAACCATCCCCTGTGGTTCCCACTGGAGGTGCAGCAGATTTGAAACCTGCTCCTCCCTGGGCTTGGGGACTTCAGGGACACTGCCATGCAGCCAGCTGCCCGACTCCATGACCTGAACCCAGTGTGTCCTCCTTTCTCTTCCTCTTTATCCCAAACCAAACCTACTGCTGTCGAGTCAGTTCTGACCCGCAGTGACCCGACAGGACCAGCCCATGGGGTTTTCTAGGCTGTCATCTTCATGGAAACAGATAAGTACATGGAAGCAGCAGTGAAGAAATCCAACGACTTTGGATTGAGTGAGTGAATCTGCTACACAAGACCCCAAAAGTGTTCAAGAACAAAGGTGTCACTTTGAGGACTAAGGGTCTTTTTAGTCACCTAATATGCATGTGAAAGTTGGACAGTAAATAAGGAAGAGTATAGAGAATTGATGCATTTGAGTTGATGGTTTTGGAGGAGACTATTGAGAGTATCATAGACTATCAGAGGCTCCTCCGCAGCAAAGGTGATGATTTGGACGTGTTATCAGGAGGCATCGGGCCCTGGAGAAGGCCGTCTTGTTACTGCTGTTAGATGCCATCAAGTCGGCTCTGATACATAGCGACCTTATGCACAACAGAACAAAAGCATCATGTGGTCATGTACCTACCACCCATGCAATCACTGCTAAGCTTGAGTTCATTGCTGCTGCCACCGTGCCAATCCATCTCATTGGGGGTCTTCCTGTTTTTCACTGACCCTCCACTTTACCAAGCATGATGTCCTTCTCCAGGGACTGGTCCCTCCTGATCATGCATCCGAAGTCTGGCCATCCTGGCTTCTGGCTGCACTTCTTCAAACACAGATTTGTTTGTTCTTCTAGTAGTCCATGGTACTTTAAAAATTCTTCTCTAAACATCATAACTCAAATGCATTGATTTTTTCACGGTATTCTCTATTCATCGTCCTATTTTCAAATACATATGAGGCTATTAAAAATACCATGGTTTGGGTCAGGTACAACTCAGTTCTCAAACTGACATCTTTCCTCTTGAACACTTTAAAGATATTTTGTGCAGCAGATTTGCCTAATGCAGTATGTCATTTGATGTCTTGACTGATGCTTCCATGAGTGTTGATTGTGGATCCGAGCAAAATGAAGTCTTAGACAACTTCAATCTTTTCTCCATTGATAAGAATGTTGTTTATTGGTCCAGTGGTGAGGGTTTTTGTTTTCTTTACATTGAGGTGCAGCCCATACTGAAGGCTGTGCTCTTTGATTTCCAGCAGTAAGTAAAAGACGCATTGTTATATGTTTATTGGGATATGCACTTGAGTGAACATGCAGGAGAAAGATGAGGCTTTTTGCTCCCATAAAGATTTACAGCCTCGGAAACCCTGTACAGGGTCGCTATGAGTCGGAACCGACTCCATGGCACACCACCACCACCACTACCAAATGAGTGAACACAGTAAACTGATTATAGGGAGAGCCAGGTTTCTATATATGCCTCCAAGAAACTCTCCTAGGTGCCTTTGGTGTACCTCACTGTGTACCTCGTTGTGCCTTTGGTGTAGCTCACTGTGTACCTCGTTGTACCTTTGGTGTACCTCACTGTGTT